CTGGTCCCTGCGCCAACAGCCACCAATATCAATTGTGTGAGTGTGTGAGCGTATATGCGTATGTGACATAGATCTTTCTCTTAGCGAAGGTGAATACCAGATGTAAATGGTGCCTCTGAGCCAAGGAGGCTTGTATTTTGCACATTTTATAAAAACTTGAGGAGTGAGATTTCTGCTTGTATATTTCTAAACAGAAAAGAGCCCGAACCATCCTTTCATTACCTTCTCCCTTCCTTGCAGCCCCTCCCCTTCTTTGCCCCTAGCCAAGGAGTGTGAATTTATAGATCTAATTTTCATAGGCAAAACAAAGCTTCAAGCTTCAGGCTGTTGAGTGAGAGTATGTTGTATGGATGTGTGTGGATGTACTCTCCAGCCCCAAAATGGGGTGGGAAAGTGCTTGGTGGGAGCCATAGGGGGTGGTCCTCACATTGCCCCTTTGCACTTAAGTCTGCAGGGTGGGGATGCTGTCATTCAGTTCCAGGAATCTGGGACTGTTCACCTGGCATGCTCAGGCTAGCCCATACCCTGCTCCCTGGGCTGGGCCTGACTGCAGGGATCATCCGTGGGCACAGCCCAGGAAAGGGATCCCAGGCTCCTGCCTCCAAGCTTAAAGGCTGATGTACTTTTCCTATCTCCAGTCTTCCGTGTAGCAGCTTTAACCCACATCTGTGTCCTATCAAGCCCAAACAGCTGAGTGGCCCCTAGAAAGGATCTCTCCCTAAGGGGATAGACTTATGCCTAATGGGTGGGGCCAGGTGAGGGATGGGCCTATGGAGGACGTTCTTACTGTGCTAAAAAGCCACTGCAAACATAGCAATAAAAACACATCATTTTCCAAAGTTGGCCTTGTCTCTGCCTCTGCTGGGGGGGGGGGGGGGAGGGGGGGGGAGGCCCGCAGCAGCGCAGGTTGAGCATGCAAGAGGCATGGGGACTTTCAACCAGCTCCACCTGCCTACATTAAGGCCCCAGTCTAGTCTGGGTGCTTGTGACTTTACCTCTGTATGTCTACTCAGAAGGCTGAGATCTGATTGTGATTCAAAACCAGCCTGGGGCTGGGAAGTCCATGAGACTCCTATTTCCAATTAACCAGCAAAAAGCCAGAAGTAGATCTGGCTCAAGTGGTAAAGTGCCAGCCTTGAGCTCAAAGACAGTATCTAGGCCCCGAGTTCAAACCCCTCCCAAGACAAAAAAGCCCCATTCTAAGAGACTAGCAGGGAAGGAAGCCCTAGTCCCCTGAAGCAGACAGATTTAGGTGACAGTAAGCTTGCTTACAGAGCAAATGCAGCAAGAAGGGTGGGTATAGTTATGAGTACTAGAATTTGCACAGGTACTGGGTGGGGCTTGAGCTCAGCTTGGACACTGTCCCTTTGCTTTTCTGGCTCAAAGCTGGCAATCACAGCTGAATCACAGCTTAGAGATCAGTTTCTTGGCTGGGCTGGCTTTGAACTGTGATCCTCAGATCTATCTCCCAAGTAAGATTATAGAAAGGTTGCCAGAAGACAAGATCTGAAGGTGAAGGGCTGGGTCCAACAGGGACTGTAGGACTGATACCGGTTTGAGAGTTGTTTAGGCAAATGCCAGAGAGGTGTTGCCAGGTCCTGCAGGGTATAACTGAGTTGGCTTTGGGCATGTCATCTGGGAAATGTCATCCAAGTGGAGATTTTTAGTTGGCACGTGGACATGGAAGTCTGCAGTTCCATCAAGTCTAGCCTAGAGCTAAAAAAAAACCCTGGAGGTTCTTACTACATATACAGATGAGTCTAAATGGGCTGAGGGAAGGTATGAATGGGTGCATCAGTAAATGGGGCCCAAGCATTAGATGGCCCACAAGGCTCAGAGAGGAAGTGGCCAGTCAAGGATAGTGATGCTGTGGCATGTTTATTGGTATGGCAAGATCTCAGAACCCTGAACAAGTTTAAGTGGAGTGGCACAAAAGCCTGACTTGAGTGGGATTAAAAAGGAATAAAAGGAACTTAAGGTCTATAAGCAGATGAATGGAAGAACAAAAGAAAGGATGTCTGTACAATGGAATATTAGCCCTAAAAATGAAGGAATTCGGGGCTGGGAAGGTGGCTCAGTGGTAGAGTGCTTGCCTTGAATGCATGAGGCCCTAGGTTCCATTCCTCAGCACCACATAAGCAGAAAAAGCCGGAAGTGGGGCTGAGGCTCAAGTGGTAGAGTGCTAGGCTACAGCTGAAGAGCTGAGGGACAGCACCCTTGTCCAGAGTTCAGGCCCCACAACTGACCCAAAAAAAAAAAAAAAAAAAAAAGGAAAAGAAAATGGAGGAATTGTCTTGTTCCATGAGTGATCCTTGACATGAGGCTAAGTGAAATAACGCAATCATAAAAGGACAAATATTTTTACCGAAATGAACTCCAAGAAATGGAAACAAGCTTTTTTTGTTGTTTTGTCATTTGTTCATCTGTCTTTTGGAAAGTAAAGGGGGCACTTTCTAGAAATGATTGGAGAAAGGGTGAATATATGCAGCAGCAGCAGTATTCCCTAGACACTATGTTGAAAATGAACTATACAACTTGCCGGTAGGGACAGGAGGGAAAAACTGGGAGCAAGGGAAGGAGTGACACTGTCCAAAAAGAAATGAATTCTTTATCTGCCTTATGTAATTGTAACCTCTCCATACATCACCTTTATAGAAATAAAAAATGTATGGAGAAACATGGACAAACACTACATGATCCCACATATAAGCCCCTAGAATAATTGAATCCAGAGACAGAATAGAAGGGTAGATACCATGAGCTGAGGGGAATGAGGACTTATTAATGTTTAGTAGGAACAGAATTCCAGTGTGGGAAGATGAGTTCTACAAATGGGTTAGGGGTGATGGTTGCACAATAATGTGCTCAACTCAATGTCACTGAACTATACCTTTGAAAATGATGGGCAATGGTGGGTCATGCCTGTAACCTTAACTACTCAAGAGGCTGAGATCAGAGTATTGTGGTTCAAAGCCAACCAGGGCAGGAAAGTCTGTGAGTCTTATCTCCAACCAGAAGTGGAGCAGTGGTCAAGTGGTAGGGCACTAAACTTGAATGAAAAAGCTCAGGACAGCAGAGCCTGAGTTCAAGCCCAAGACTGGCCAAAAAAAATGGTGAAAATGATATTTTGTTGTATGTTACAATGAAAAAGAAAAAAAAATAGTGATCAGTCAGTCCAGACAGATCTGTAGATGCAGCAGGTCACACCTTGGGCAGGAGTTATGACCAGGCAGCCCTAGTTCTGTTGTGTAGCATTCTCCAATTTTTCTTTGTGTTTCTCCTTCCACAGAACCCTGACCCTTTTAACGTCAATGCCACTTCCAGAACACTTGCCCGCTAATAAGTCTCTTCAGCTTTTCTTAGCTGCAAAGGCCCTTAGTAAGGGTCCACTAGACTCTTCCCACTGTGCACAAACCCCCCTATACCAAGCTGCTCCCAAACAACTGCCCTCCAGAAAGAGCTGGCAGCCCCAGTGTTAACCATTAGAGTCTATCCCTTCTCCTTTGGGATTACACCTAGCCCTGACGAGCTCTCGGTTATATCTTTTGCCTGAGATGAGAGCTCTGGTCCATTCTTCTACCCATCAGGCCAAAAGCCCTCCAAGCTACCTGTCACATTGCTATCAAAGACACATAAAACAGTGACAGCACAAAAAGACAACCTCATGGGGGTTTATCGTCTGAACTAGATACTAGCAGGTAGGGCTATTTACTCGGGAATCTGCCTGCTTGCTAACAGTTAGGACAGGAAATCAACAAAAGAAGTGATCTTAGTCCTTAAGGTACATAAAGTATAATGAGGACAATGGGAAAGCAAACAAAGAAAATAGGACTATCCCTATCATTCTCCCCATTAAATGGGGATGCCCTGGAAAGTAGGCCAGAGATGGGCTTTGCAAAGGTTGGAGTGGAATGGCAGGAGTGGCTGTCTGGACTTTAGCCTGTTGAAGCACACATGGGTGAACTCAGGGAGGCCCTGAGTTTCCTTCCTGGAAAAGTGGACTAGCTCTAACCCTTGGCATAGCAATCAGAAGGCGTCACCAAAATGTTCCACCCCCATGGGCACCACTTAGACTGCTAGGAAAGGTGTGGACTTCTTAAAAGGCAGCCATACTCTTGAGTGCTAGGAAAGGTGATAGGATGCTTGAGAAAGCAGCTTCTGGCCTGGACCCAGATACAACAGCTGGGGTGGACTATTAGCTACCTGGCCAGTATTAATCTTCAGGAGTCACCCCAATTCTGAGACACACACCTTTGGTCTGTTCCCCCATCCCTCCACCCAGAATTCTCACATATAGGTGTGGCAGAGAACCTGCAGGGGGCAGGGGAAGAGGACAAGCACCTCAGCAAAGACAGAGCCCTTGTGCTGTGTTGGAGAGAAGCTCAGCTGCAGGCTGACCATGCATGACTGACTACAGGAAGCCACCAGGGGAACTGTCAATAAGCCAGTTCCAGTGAAAGACCACACTCTATGTCTTCAGGGCTGGAGGCAGTAGAAGGGCCCTGACCCTTCTGCAGCATGTCTCCACTGCTTCACTCTGCCCTGGGCCAGCTCTAGGTCAGTGCCAAGGGCATGTCTCCTCTCCCAGTCAGCATTAGTCAGAGGTTATACTGCAAAACCTTCAGGAGGGGGTAGGGCAGGGAGTGACTGGTGGCGCTCTGCCACATTATATCTGTCCCGAATGTGATGAACAGGAACCTAGAGAAGGCAGGCATGTCTGCCACCAGGAAGTCCTATTGGTTTATCAAGCTTCTGGGACAGCTGCCAATTCCCAGGAAGACTGACAGGACAGATACTCCCCAAGAGGTATCCCCAAGAGGTATAAAGTGGGGCCTGTCCCAGCCTTTGAAGGCAATTGTGACCCTCGTCTCCAGAGCTGGAACCAAACTCAAGGAAAAAAGGGTTGCCACACAGAGCCCTGGCTGCACCTTTCTGGAAGTTCTGGAGTTTTGAAAAAGGAAGAATCCTCCCTGTAGCCTCAGTTGTACACAAGTATCTTGTATGCATTATAACTTTTATTGCCTGCAGAAGAAATAAGTCAGCCTGCTTCACAGGCCTCCTGCAGGACAAGAGAACATGTCAACATTGTAAAACAAAAGATGCTCTGACACTGGCCAGGTCACAAGTGCCATACTCAAAGGAGTGGAAGTGGCCCAGTCAGGCAGAACAATGGCAAATTAGTGACAACCAGGTCCCCCTGTGCTATGCTGGTAGAGTGGAAAAGAGCCAAGATGATGAGCTAACAAGCTAAGGAAGGGGATGGGGGGGAGTGAACTGAAAAATCAAGGGAAAGAATTGGCCTCCAGGACAGCAAGCACAGGCCAAGTGGAAGCTGGTTGCAGGCAGGGAAGGAGGCAGTCCCTCACTCCTCCTTCTTGTCTGTAGGACCATCAACCGAGGCCTGGAAAGGGACAAAGCAGTTAAGTTGGCAGGGCCTACCTCCTTTAACTTCTAGCCCTATTGCCCAGAGGCCCAGTTGAGTTCCCTTCTCTAAATGACAGATATTCAAGTGTGCAAGGCACCCCACCCAAAGCACCCAAAAGCTTGCTCGAGTGTGAATATTGATCCTTCCTATGTTAGGAAAGGCTCTGAACTTAACACTTGCTAGGACAGAATTGCTAGGATCTCAGTGTGGGCTAAGCTCTGGGGGTAAAAGGGAACAACTGGAATCCTTTACCATAGTCAGAGTAGAAACAAGACTTCCTCCCCAACACATGGTTGACCAGCTTTCAAGTGCCAACTCAGGCCCTTTTCAACTTTGTATACCTTGCACAGCTCCCCTCAAAACTCAGCTCCTTCACACTAATGGTGCAGGAACCCCTATGGGACTAGGCCCTTTTTCCTAGTTCACTCTGGTGTCCAAACAAGCTATCAAACACCGATGAGAGCTGTGGACCTTAGGGGTACTTAACTAGCTCTCCCCCTCCTCAACTTCTAGAATATCTGAGCTTCTAGCTAGCCTGCAGTTCTAAGACTAGCCTAAGAATGCACACCAGGACTTGGGTAGCAGGTAAGGGCAGCAATTAATATCTGTTACTTAACGGGTGCCCTTTGAGGCTTTCTCCTCATCTTCCTCAGGCTTTGCCCACATCACCCCCCAGCCCCACAGGAGAGGTGGCAAGTAGCGAATCCCAAGGGTTCACCCAAGTATATTCCTAACTAGGTATCATACTTCACGGCTGAATATAGCCTGGAAAGAGGAATTCCTCAAAGATAAGATCCAGTGCACACATAGTCACCTGCTGAGGGCTACCTTGGCTATCTAGTGCTATGCCACATACTACCTGACAAGAGAAAAAAGATTCTGGCTACTAGATAGGCTTTAGCCCTAGACTTAGAAGTGAAGGAGGCTTGCTACAACCCAGAACTCTTACAAGACCCAAAGAGGGTGAAGCAGGTTCCCTACATATAGAAATACTGCTCTAACCCACACCTACACAAGAAGGGAAGAAGCTGACCTGAAGCGTGGCGTGCATTTCCAGCAGGCGATCATACTCCTTGATGAGGCCCTCAGACTGCTTCTTCATGGCCAGAGCTTCATTCTCAGCTTTCTCTAGCTCTGGAAATGATATAAATGATAAAGACAGGAGACTGAGACTAGTAGGAAAAAAAAACCCTGCTGGCTTAAAAACATGAGAAACTGCCCTGAATCTGTCTCAAATGAGGTTGCACAGGCAATATCCAGTGTTTCTAAATAAAGTGCATCTGCTTTTACAGACGTCCAGAGCAGGGATACAATGAAGAGATGACCAAACAGCTATATGAAGGAAAAACAAAACAAAAACTTAAGATCCCTTTGGTGTCATTAAATGAAGGAAACCTTACTGGTGACCTTTAGGGAGGCAGAGAGCAAAATCTCAGTCTCAAAGCAATACCTTGCAGATTTTCAGAGTAGCAACAGCTAAAGCCTACAGTGCTAAATGCGCTTATGTCTAGGGATGGGGAAAGAAAGGTAGATTAGTTCACAGCTTAGAAAAACCTACATAAGTGGCTGGGAAGGTGGCTCAGTGGTAGAGCGCTTTGCCTTGCATGCATGAGGCCCTGGGTTCGATTCCTCAGCACCACATAAGCAAAAAGACAAAAAAGCCGAAAGTGGCGCTGTGGCTCAAGTGGTAAAGTGCTAGCCTTGAGCTGAAGAACTGAGGGACAGCTCCCAGGCCGAGTTCAGGCCCCATGACGGGACCCAAAAAAAAAAAAAAAAACCCCGAAAAACCTACATAAATTCATGTCCATTCCCACTCCTTTTGCTCTCAGCTCCAAGGCAACAAGGCTAACCCTGTCTGCCTCTCAACAGGAACATCCCCGGGTAAGCAATGCTAAAGCATGTGAGATGATTGCCAGGGCTTCTCCAAGGCCTATTCAACTGCTGCATCTCACTTAGTTATGTGCTAAATTCAGCCACATTTAGGTGTGGAAGAATAGGGTTCTGTGTATTTTCACTCAACTCTTGAGCTTGCACATAAAGGATGTGCTATTAATACTTTGGTACATGCCTGGCACCAGAGGTTCACACCTACAATCCTAGCTACTCAGGAGGATCAGAGGATTGAGGTTCAAAGTCAGCCTGGGCAGGAAAGTCTGTGAGATTCTTATCTCCAGTTAACCACCAGAAAACCAGAAGTGGAACTATGGCTCAAGTGGTAAAGTGCTTGCCTTAGCTGAAGAGCTTAGGGACAGCACCCAGGCCCAGAGTTCAAGTCCCCTGACAAACAAACAAAAAATATATATACACACTTTGGTACAAGAGGAGCAGTAGTGGGAATGGAGGCTCTAAACCCGGGGATGGAGGGGGCAACACAAGAGGGCAATCCTCACTTTGTTTGGTGCTGTCCAATTCATCCTTTAGCCTCTTCACATCAGCCTTCAGGTTCTTGTTCTCTTCCTCCAATTTTGCCTCAACATCCCCAACATCCAACTTGCCTCCATCTACAGTAATTCCCTGGAAAAAGTGTCAAAGGGCAGGTTACTCAGTAAGAAGGGAAAGCAAGGCTCCCTCCCAGTGCTATCCACCAAGCTGTGGTTCCTCAATCTATTCTGGGCACTTACTTGCTCTTGCCCCATCAGAAATGTCAATGGGCTACTACTTGCTCTCAAAGGCCAGAGAGTAGTGTAACTGGCCATTGGAAGAAAGGAGGGGGCCAGAGGGCCACCTGTTACAGCTCACAAACTACATATTCTGCCTGTTCTGGCCCTTGGCTCTACCTCCTTCCTCACCAGCAAGACTCAAAAAGTTCTATGGAGTTTATGGGTTTGTCCAACGACTCAACTTGCTGCTAATCTGGACCTCTGTCAGCCACCCCAACCACTAACCACTATTTCTTTTTCCCAGGCTCCAGCAGTTCACTGTAGCCCATAAGCCCTAAAGTTGCCCCTGCCTATCCAGTGTGTCCTACCTATGTTTCCAAATCTATTTATCTCCTTCTAAAGTTTGGCCCATACCTACCCCACCTCCTGACAAGCTTTCAAGGTCTGGCCAACAACCCAGTTTCTGCTTCTCTAAACTGAGGGATACATAAGCCTTATGTTGCTGAAGGTATGGCTGATGTCAATCTTTTGGAGAAGGGCTATCTCTGCAATGCCAGGAGTCCTAGCACAGAGCCCAGGCTCATGATGACATATCTCCTCAGGGCACAGTATTACTGGAAGCAGTGAATGGATACAGAATGTCCCTTTTTCTACTACGTAACCATGATCAGAGGGCACCCCCCACCACATACACCCAATGACAACTTCCCCTTTGTGCCTCTACACAATTCCAAATTTTCAGGCAGCAGTAGTCTCATACAGGTACCAGTCTGACAACCTAACAGTGGCCCCTGAGGAATAACAGCCCAGGCATCCCACTTAGGTTAGGAAAGTGGGCTCACCTTCTTTAGCTGGTCATTCTCCTCCATGTACTTCTTGGCAGCCTCACTAGCACTCTCTGCCTGCTTTTTAAAGGCTTCATTGGAGGCCAGCAGTGTGGCCTGCTGGGAGATGAGAGTCACCAGGCGTCTAAGCAGGCTGTAATTGTTTACAAAAAGGGAGAAGTGAGAAGAAGCAAGAAAGCAAAGTGGCTGGCAGGATCTCTCCTTGGCTGCTACCTGCCCCAGCCTGCCTCCAGCCTAGACCTGGCAACATGAGAGGAAAGGTGGGGCCTGGGAGCTGGCATCTGCCAATGCCCCCAAACAGCCACCCTTGGACTCTGCAAGGTGCCTTGGGGAGGGGTTGGAAGCAGGAGCATGGGGACACCCAGGGCATAGACTAAAGATGGCATGAGGTCCTAGAACGCTCACTTTCCAGGTCAGGGCCTGGACATGCCAAAGAAGGCTCAGCAGTTTCCTCCCTGCAAGGCCAGGCTTGCCTCCATAAAAGAACAATGGCGGCTAATAATACGAGGCAGAATTCTCATATCTATCTTATGAGGTAGTTACTACTATTGCCCTCACTTAACAGAGAAGGAAACTGAGGCTCAGAAGGTAACATGTTCAAAGTCAAGAATCAGAAACTGATGTGGCTAGAATTTCAACTCTGGTTTGTGTGACTCTAAAGCCTATCTTCAGAACCACAGTTAAGAAAGTCTAGTTTCTCTAGCCAGGCGCCAGCACGCCTGTAATCCTAGCTACTCAGGAGGCTGAGATCTGAGGATCATGGTTCAAAGCCATCCCAGGCAGGAAAGTCCATGAGACTCTAATCTCCAGTAAACCACTCAGAAAACCAGAAGTGGCGCTGTGGCTCAAGTGGTAGAGCGCTAGCCTTGAGCTGAAGAGCTGAGGGGTAGCGCCCAGGCCCAGAGTTCAGGCCCCACAACTGACAAAAAAAAAAAAAAAGGAAAAAAGAAATTATACTTTCTCAACTCTTTGGGGAACAGATTCCAGGTCCTGACATAAGATAGGAAACTTTCTTTTCCCAAACCATCACATAGCCAGCTGCCCCACGTTATATAATAGTGCGCATGTTGAGGTGGTCTTGAACTAGAGGCGAAAGAAAAAGATTCAAGGCCAAGTGCCCACTGCCTAAAACAGCTGAGAGGCAAACAGGTGGCAGCTGGATCAGCAGATGCTAGTCCCTGAGCAGCAAGAATGGGATGGCAGGGAGTGGAGGGAAGGATTTCCCTGCAGCCTTGAGAAAATGACTGCTCACTCAGTCAAGATGAAGGGATGCTTTCTCCACGTGCCTCAAAAAGGGCCCAGTCCAGCCACAGCTCTTATAGAGTCAGACAAGGCATATGTGGAGGTCTGGGGGAAAAGGAAGAAAGTAATTGCTCCAGGGAACTTCAACCAAAGTGCCTGAAAGAGAAGCAACAGCCTTGGTGGCCTCTCTGGTTCTGCCAGGCATTGGTAGGCTTTGCCCATTCCCACCTGTGGCCCAAGCAGGCAAGGAGATGAGGAGCTCAGAGCAAGAAAGCTCTCTTCTTGCCTGAGCCAGGGTATTCACTTTGGGGAGTATACTTATGGGATGGAGGTGCCCATGTGGTTCCTGGTTTGGGGTGAGGCTCCCAGGGGCCCCTGGAACACAGGGAGAACCAGGCTGCTGATTCCTGGCAGGAGAGCAGAGTTTCCAGTGACATGTGCTCTCTAAAATTAGCAGCTGGGACCTCGTGGCTAAGGGCTCAGGTTTCCCTGTCTCAGCCCCCAGCTGCCCACCAGCCTGCCCCCCACTGGGCTACAGCCCTGAAGGTAGAGCTACCAAGCATCCCAAGAACCACTGAGAAACCATGGGCCTGATTCACAGCAGCAGAAGTCATGGAAAGGCCAGAAAGGCAAGTGTGACTAGCAGAAAACCCAGCACAGAGCTTCTGGCTCCTAAACAGGTCTCTGTGGTATTGAGGAAGAGGCCCCTCCTCCCAGCTGGAAATGGGGGAGGGAGTATTTGTGCCACCTGCTGGTCGAGATGGGGCATGTGGACATCATCAGGACCCAGCAAGGATGAGTGGAGACCAAGAGTTACTACCTCACACCCACCAGGTTGGGAAGTTGACTGATAAGGAATGTCTACAGCCAGTCTCAGTTATCCAAGGTAGGATAACGAGAGCAGAGTAGCAAGGGTCTAGCTCTTCTCAGTGCTCTCTCAAGTCTTCCTCAGCTACTGAGAACTAGGGTTTCTTAGATAAGACTGGGATACCTATAGAATCCAGTGCAGGACCTAGGTAGTCTCTTGCTCACAATAACGGCCCTGCTCAGCCTCACTCCTGGCCTTCAGCTTTCAGGCATTCAACTGCTGGGGCCCCTCTACCAGCCAGGTCCTGATTCCCCTTTCTCTGGCTGTCATGAACATTTTCTACCTCCCGGAATGCCTGGCTGGCTTCCAAAGACAGACATCCCCCATTGTCTACCACAGTCCTAACAGTTCTTTCATACCATCTGATGTTGGAGTTGTACCTCCAACCCATCTAAGGGTACATAATTTTACCTGCTGTGCTGTCTTCCCCCAACAACCTCTTTCCTACAGTCACCACACCAAACCTCTCAATACCTCTCTCCCTCCCATCCACGACTTGTCCTTAACATGGCATCAACAGGACCACTGGTGCCACCCACCCTAACTACCCCAACCTACAATAACCCTAGAGTCCTCCCAGGACATGTACTCGATGGCATCTGTTGCTGCTGACAAGTCATCTTCAAGATGTCCCTTGACTCTTCTCTCCCACTACCTGGTTACAGGTTACTCTGTTCGTTGAGAATCTGCTCTGTACCCTGAACTTTCATCTGGCCAATCTTATCTCAAAACAGCCTTATCTACTACCTATCCCACTGATCACTGACTCCTGTTGTCCCCAGAGACATTCCTACCACAGCCTGCCAAAATAGGCTCTTACTACACCTGGGATGACAGCAAGTGATGGCAGGCACAGGAGCAATCTCAAATGCTGTTCCTCCTTGCTTTGCCCCTTGGCCCACGCCACTATCCAATGCCTTCTATGTCAACACTAAACAGGACAACTGCTATTCATCTTTGTTGCTAGTGCCTAGTGCTTCCCCCCCATCAGCAACTATACAGCATTCCCAATCACCCTAGAGCAGACCAGAGCCAGCTGGTCAAGCCACTGCTCAGGTGATGCCAAGCACTGTTATCCTCAGGTTATGCCAAGCCTCATTCTGCACATTAGTACTCTGGGCTATGATGTTCTTCCTAGATAGTGCAATTATTACCTCCCTTAACAAAGCTTTTCCTGATCCAATGCCTATCCCTAGTCAGGGAGGCACCCTCTGTAGCTCCTATGATGGCCTCTTGCATACCCCATTCAGCTGTGTGGTTCTTATAAGCCCATACATCCTACTCATTTGTCCATATGTCTGGATGCCCTATTAAGACTATGAATGCCTTCAGGCTGGTCCTGTACATTTATTTCATATCTACGCCTTCAGAGCTGGCACAATGAAAAGGGGCCTTACAGATTACCTCATCCCACTCCCAGCATAGGAAGCACTCTCTGACAGGTGAGGGAATGTGTTGAGACTGCTTGTCAGGCCCAAGCCTGCCCTTTCTTCTTGCTACACCTATGTCCACCTGGAGATCTGGCACAGCAGATGGGAGTATATAGGAAGACACAGCGTTTACCAGTTTATCTAGCAACAGAGGAAAGAGTAGACAGCAGTGAGAAGGCACTGGTTCAGACCCATGTTGGTGAGCAAGCCAGGCTTGTGGCTGAGGTGGCAGCTGACAAGGCAAAGGGGAAAAGTGATTCACCACCATGAGCTGGGGATAGACTAAAGCTCTGTCCTGCATCCCCAGATTCCCTTGTGCTCCCAGTAAAGTGACTAAACCCTATGCCATGGGTTCACTAGAATTTGCCAGCCTTCTGGAACATTTTACTGCTCCTTCACTTAATGTCACCTGTCCAGATCCTACCTGATAATCTCTTCAGTGACCCTCCACCCCACATAGACCATTCTAGGCACTCTCAATGGGGTAGCCCCAAAGCTGAGCATGACACCTAATGAACAAGGACTAGCTTCAGAATTTCCAGGCTTCAATAGCTCAACTATGTCAACCTGCAAAATTGAACTCTGCACAGGTTCTTTCCTGTCACGTTATGTTCCATCATTCTCTGCTTTAACAAACCCTGCCTAGAGTGTCACCCAGCTAACTATTCTTAGCTATTCATTTACAGAGCACAGGTGAGAACCTAGGAGCCAAAGGAATCTCCTCAAGTTATAGTCACTGACAAAATGGCCCAGTGTCTATACTAACTGCATCCAAGGACAGAAGAAAAGGCTAGTGAACCAAAACCTAATGGAATCCAGATGTGTCCTTGGAAAACAAATGTCAGGCCCAAATACCTGAACTCAACTTGGCATTCCTAGTAAAATGTTCTTGGATGCTGAGCAGGGCTATCATGCTTTTCTAAAAGGTTGAGTAAACAAGAGAAGGCAGAAGAAACAGAATCTCTCTCTCCAGACTCTTGAGAAACAGGGCCAACCATATCAAGTGGAGAAAGACATGGCTCACAAGTGAGCACTTTTCACAAACTGTCTGTACATACTCCTTTCAGCAAACAGGATGAAGACATGGGCTTAACAGGAAGTAGGGAAGAAGCATGTTGTGGTCCTCAGGGGGCCTCAGGTGAGACAACATCCCTGTGGACATAAGCTGTGCACCCAAGCTCTTCTGTCTCTGCCCCCATTCAAGTGAGAGCCTGTTGTCACAGCGCCACCTGCTGACTCTATTACCACAGCCCAGGACAGCTGCATAGCATAGCTAGGAAGCAAAGTAAATATGCCTCTATAGTGGAAAGAAAAGTGGTCAACCTGGGAGATACCAAGAGCCAGGAAAGGCTTCAAGCAAAGCATAGGACTATTATCCTCAAAAGCTTATAGCCATGAAAACAAGGAAGCTCCGAAAAAGGAAGAGTCAATTAGGACTTGGAAAGCTACCAAGAAAGACCCAAGAAAGGTCACCCTAAAAGAACTCCCCAAGTCCCTTTCAGCACAGCTGTTCAGCCTTCCTTTCAGCCTTCAGGTACACAGAAGCTATAGAAAATGAGGGCTAGATCCCAGCTGTCCCAAAGGCAGAGGTCA